TACGGAAATCGGTATTTCAGATCGAGTTGGAATTTTACAAAAATTTGAAGGATGTTATAAAATGGTTGGAAATATTATTTCAATATTTTATATCAGAGAACTTTGGTATGGATATGTGCAATTTTTCAGATTTAATAGAAACAGTGGAATTTAGTGACTAAAACGCAAGTTTTGAAAATTTCATGGGCATTTTCTTAAGTCAAAGTCAAATTTATTCATCTTTGACTTGGAAATATGATCAGGATGAGTTGTCATGGTTTTATGGTGAATAAGAAGATTCATTAAGGGTGATTTGGTCTTATCCTAATTAAATGAATATTATATTCATTTATAGTGGAATATAGTTTAAACAAAGATGAAATGCACCCAACATTTCATCCAAATTTGCTCTCTTCTTCTCCAAAGCTGCGTGGGTTTTATTTAAAGGTGAGAGAAATCTTCAACTCAGTTTTCAAGCAATTTTCTTAGGATTTTGAGTATGATGTAAATAGAAAATTGTTATACGCGAAAAACGCTATCATTTGGTACCAATATTGCATGATAATCTTGCTTGATTTCAAAAATTCCCAAATCTGGAAATTTATGTTCACACTATGGTTTTTGAAAATTGATGATGGTTATTGATGATTTTGAGGTTGTAGATGCATATTCAAGCATGTATGATGATTAAAACATGTTTAATCTTTCTAGAACTTGTTCTTTAAATTTTGGCCATGGATGGTTTGAGTGAGAAAATTATGGAAAATTTTTATATGGGTTGGAAAAGATGAAGGAAGTATTTTACAAGCCTTAGAAAATTTGAGGACCATTTCATAATTTTTGAAAAGTTGGGGATCAATTCGTAAATTTTGGAAAATTGATGGGTTGTTGTGTAAGTGTTATATAATTGATGTACCATACTGGAAATTGTTGTATGGGAATTGAAATGAGTGTTAGATGTGAAATATGACTATTTTAGAAGTTTGAAAAGATTAGTGATTTATGTACAACAATTGCATAGTTGGGGTACTTAAATGTATTTATTCTGTCTTAAAAGCATTTGAATGGAAATAATTTCAACGCTGAAATTATTGGTATTAAGAATTTAAATGATAAAATGGTGAAGGACCATTTTGTGTAAATTGGAAAAGTTGGTTCCAATGTCAAAAGGAAATATTAAGAGTTAAGTATTTTGATAGATAATGAGTTTCAAATATAATGGAGTTATTTTGGGATTTGTTTATGTTAGTACAATACTAACATATGTATCATTATGAAATTGTGATTTATACAGATCGTGACTGATTTGTGATTGAAGAAAGTCAAGTATAAAAAGGGTTATTGTGTAACGTAGTGAGGATTATATATTTTGAAAGATATAAAGTGTCAAGGTGAGTGCATTTAATTATGTACGTACATGTGGTAATAGTTAAAATAGCATGATTTATTAATGTATGTATAGTGATTACCAAATAGCATTATATGTGCTAAAATGATAAGGAAATCATACTGAGTGTATGAATTTCCATATGGAGCACTGAGTGTGCTAAAATGATAAGGAAATCATATTGAATATATGGATTTCCAGACAGGGCATTATATGTGCTAAAATGGTAAGGGAATCATACTGAGTGTATGAATTTCCATATGGAGCACTGAGTGTGCTAAAATGATAAGGAAATCATATTGAATATATGGATTTCCATATGGGCATTATATGTGCTAAAATGGTAAGGGAATCATACTAAGTGTATGGATTTCCAGATAAAGCATTAAGTGTGCTACAAGGATAAGGAAATCATACTAATGGTATAAATTTTCATATAAGGCACTTCATGTGCTAAAAATTGTAAAGGAATCATACTAATGGTATGGATTCTCGAATAGGGCACTTCGTGTGCTAAAATGAGAAGGAAATCATATTAAGTATATGATATTCCAGATAGAGCACTGAGAGTGCTAATATTATAAGGAAATTATATAAATTGTATGAATTTCCTATGGAATGTATGGATTCCAATAATGATTAATAAATGAGGTTAATGGCATCAGTGATGCAAATTATAGCAAGTATATTGGTAAAATAAGCTTACGAGCTTTTGGAATAATAGTAAGTATATTGGTAAAATAAGCTTACGAGCTTATGGAATAATAGTAAGTATATATTGGTAAAATAAGCTTACGAGCTTAGGGATTTAATGGTAAGTATATTGGTAAAATAAGCTTACGAGCTTATGGAATAAATGGTATGTATATTGATAAAAAAATTTATAGAATCTTGATCATGGTAAAATATTGGATATATTGATAACATGATTTTATGACATTTTGATTTTGACATTGAAATGCATGAATTGTATTGCACTGTTTATTATTTTAATTATCTCACTAAGTATATACTTAGCGTGTGATGATTTTCATGCGTAGGTAAAAAGCCAGTAGTGGAATAAAGAGTTCAAAGTGACATCAAGCATCGAGGAGTATATTTCAATATCAGTAAGACATCCTATGATGGAATTTGACTTAGATAGTGGCATGTAATTAATAATGTTCAATTTATTTTGTTGAACAAATTTGGAAATAAAATGGTAACCTTATAGTTAAGAAATGTTAAGTTTTTATGAGTTTTATGTATTTTTCAGAAATTACAGTAGCAGTTACTGTAGCAGTGCATCGATGCACTGTAGCAGTGAATCGATACACATTTTAAGTTTGAAAGTTTTGTGCATAGGTACACTGTTCACGTACTAATCTATATAGGTATAATTATACGGGTTTTGGATTGAAAATGGTTCTCAAAATTTGGGTGACATCTATAATCTGTATAGGTATAATTATACGGGTTATGGGTGTTACAGGAGCAGCTACTTGACTCTGTCATAATGCCTTTCGAGTTGCGAAAGAGACTGAGAGGTGAATGCGCTGTTTGAGATTTCATTATATTTGATCATATGTTGAAAAAATCTTTAACCACAAGGATTAAACGAAGAAATTATTATATGTCATTTATAAAAAATAATTCCAGCTTTGTTGGTGACTTTCAACAATGATACTTAGTTCATCTTAGTAGTATTTGTCAACTCTGCATTTTTAACCCCATTTTTTTTCTCACAAGCATTTCATCGAACATCTATGCTTCACCTGAGATGACCTGTATCTAACTTTACACCTTGAATCGTTGATGGTCCCGATAGTCCCTTGGTCGGGTCTTCTCTCAATGGACCCTTATTCAAGTCAACACCTCCACATAATTCAAAGTTAGATTAGAATTTACCATGCATCACCGACTAAAAAGTTACGCTAGAAATGAGAAGAGAGAAGCGAAAAAGGAAATTCGAGATCGAAAAGGAATTTGGGGTTTATAATGAAATTGAGGATTGTGTTGCAAGTTTTAAAAACTGGGGGACCTAAATGCAAGTGCCTGAAAAGTTCAGTGACCATATTGCAAACGTACTAACGGTAGTGTAACGTCGGGGGACCATATTGCAAACAGACTAAATGTTGGAGGACTGTATTGCAAGTTTTAAAAGTTGGGGGACCTAAATGAAAGCTTTAGAAAAGTTCAGTGACTATTACTATACTTTACCCTATTTTTTTTATTAAAGCATAATGTCAAAATTACCGTAAATGTTTTCTAAAATGGTTTTTCCGGCCCTTATTCTTCGTTTTTGGAGTACTTTGGCCCATAACATTTCATTTTAGGGCAAAAAACCCTTATGTTTGAATGAATTGTCAATTTGACCTTTATTTCTTTTTTTTTTCTAGAATATTTTGACCCTCAACATTTCATTTTAGAGTGAAAAAGCTCTTATTTTTGGAGCGTTAACCGTTTTTTAACTAATAGTTTTCATCCACAAATGAACTATTTTAGGGTGAAAATTCTTTGTACATTACGTTTGATAGACTTTGATTTAAAAGATATAATTCTATAATTGTGATGATGCATGATCAATAATAGAATAAATAATTTTGGGAACATGATTTAATTTTAGGCCTAAGTTAGACTTGTGATTATGAACAAAATGAGCAATCAATTTGAATCCATTTTTTTATACGGAAATTATTATAATGTGAAAATGAGAGGAATATGGAAATGCACATGGTAAGATATTATATTTGTTGATACAAATTTATAATAAAATGAAGGTATAGATGACGACAAACTTAATCATATAATATATATTGCTTTTATTATTTTCTATCAACCTATGTCAAACCTTCTCGAGCTAACATATGAGCATCCCAAAAACATTCCGCAAAGTTAGGATGGGCCCTAATAGATTTTATGTTAGGGGTAAATTTTGTATTTAATAATTTATATTATAAATTTAAGGTATGGAATTATAAAATGAAAGATAAATTAGATCATTAATAGAAAATATAAAAAAATAATTAAATTATATGAAAAATTAAAATTTTCAGAAAATAATCGCCCCCACCCGCCCCTCGATCCAATCGTCTCCTCTTAAGTTCAATGTATTAAACAATTGTGCGACCAACTTGTGATTGCCAACTTGCAACTTGACTAGAACAACAGCCTAACAAACGGTTCAGTCCGATTTGGGTGCCGTTTTTTCAGGATCTGAATCAATGCCGTTTTGCTAAGATGTAGTCAATGATGATTTTGTTGAGAAACAAGTAAATATAAAGAAGAAAATTATAAATTATTTGGATTTAAATCTCCAAACCCAGATGTAGTCAAAGATGCTTTTGTCGAGAAAGAGAAAAAAAAAGTATGCACTATGCAGGCATGAACTAGCACCATTTAGCACGACCAAATAACATAGTTTAAATAATTTACTTGTACATCTGTCCACCATTATTTTCCAACTTAATTGGTTGCTTCTTCCTGTGTCTTCTTTGTTTAACACACTGTTTTCATCTTTGATTATCATATTTACTCCACTGTTTCAAGTACGCATTTCATTATCCAATATGTTGTTGTTTTCTCTGCAGCTAAGGATTTACTCCCCCGTCGTTCTATAGTTTGTTCTGCTTCTTAGCAAATTTTCAAGGGAAAAATGGACGTTCTTGTTGGCATTGTTGGATCTCTTGCTGGAAAAGCTGTTGAGTATGCTGTCGATCCCACTGCACGACAACTTAGTTACTTATTCAAGCCCAGGAGCAAGTTTCAGAACCTCCGGAGAAAAGTTCAAGACCTAAAGGATGCAAGAGAAAGGGTGCAACAATCTGTTGAAGCGGCTAACAGGAAGGGGGAGGTGATTTTTGAGAACGTTCAAAGTTGGTTGGAAGCGGTGAATGAGAAGATCTCCGAGGATGCTGCAACACAATTGCAAAAGGATGAAGAGAAAGCGATGAAGAGGTGTTTTGCTGGATTTCGCGCTGATTTCAAGTCCAGTTACCAACTTAGCAACAAAGCGGACAAGGAGGCCGATGCTATAGCTCAACTCTTGATCCAAAAGGAAAACTTTGATGGATTTTCCTACCTTCCTGCTCTTCAAGTGACAGACATTATCAGACCTGTCAAAGAGTACGAGGCCTTCAAATCAAGAAGCCGCGCTTTCGATGAGGTCATGGCTGCATTGAAAGATGATACAGTCAGCATAATCGGAGTTCACGGCATGGGGGGTGTGGGTAAAACCACACTCGTCAAAGAGGTCGCTGGAAAAGCCAACGAGAGACAGCTTTTTAGTGAAGTGGTATTGGTTACAATAAAGCAAACACCAGACATGCGGAAGATCCAGGAGGAGATTGCTGAGAAGCTAGGCATGACAATCAGCGAGAACAGCATAGATGTGAGAGCAGCTCGACTTCGTGAAAGACTAGAGAAAGAGAACAGGGTTCTTGTTATTTTGGATGATATTTGGAAGTTCCTGGATATCAGGGCACTCGGAATTCCTTCAGCAGACCAACAAAAGGGATGCAAGATCTTAATAACTTCAAGGAACCTATTTGTATTGAAGTCGATGGGTTCTCAAAAAAGCCTTCCAATTGATGTACTGAATGAAGATGAAGCATGGAACCTGTTTAAGAACGTGGCTGGTCATATTGCTGAAAGATCTGACTTGCAATCTACAGCAATGGAAGTCGCCCAAAAATGTGCAGGACTGCCGCTCGCTATTACAACAGTTGCAAAGGCTTTGAAACATAAGGAGAATTTGTATGAATGGAAGGATGCTCTGGGGCAGCTAAAACCCTCTGAAATAAACTTCAAAGGAATACCAGCTGAAGCATATTCAGCCATAGAGATGAGCTACAGATATTTGGTAAGGGAGGAACTTAAATACACTTTCTTGCTCTGCAGTATAATGGATCATGATGCTGCCATTGAAGACTTGCTGAAATATTGTAGGGGCTTGGGTTTATTTCATGGCCTTGACACGATGGAAAAAGTGCGCAACAGAGTGTTGACACTGGTTAACGAGCTCAGAGACTCTTCCCTATTACTTGCTGGTTCTACATCTGAAAGCTTTGATATGCATGATGTTGTCCTCGATGTTGCCATTTCAACTGCTTCTAGGGACCGTCGTTGGCTTGCTTTAGGAAAGGAAGATGTATTTGAAGAGTGGAAGGATACAATGAGAAACTCTCATCTTGTTAGCTTAAAATATGCTAAGGTTAGTCAGCTTCCGGATGAGTTGGAATGTCCAAACCTTATATTTTTCTCCATGCATGGCTCTGTGGAAGTTCCCAACAACTTTTTTAAGGGAGTGCAAAGACTCAATGTCTTGGAATTTGGCAGAATAAATTTTACTACCTTGCCATCCTCCGTTGGTTTCTTGAAAACTCTCTGTACATTACGCTTGATAGGCTGTGATGTAGAAGATATAGTCATCTTAGGAGAGTTGGAAAATTTGGAAATTCTTGACCTTAGTTGGTCTAGAATGAAAATGCTACCAAAGGAGATAGGACAGTTGACCAAGCTAAAATTATTAGACTTGAGTAGTTGTTTATGGCTTCAATTAATACCACCAAATGTGTTGTCAAAGTTATCCAAATTAGAAGAACTATACCTATATGATAGCTTTGATGGATGGGAGATTGAGGGAATTGAGAATCCAAGAAGCAAAGCTAGTCTTATGGAGTTGCAGCATTTGTCTCGTCTAGCAACTTTGGAAGTACATATTCCTGATGTGGAAGCTATACCAAATGATAACTTGTTTCTAGGAAAGATGGAAAGGTTCAAGATTTCAATCGGAGGTAAGATGTGGGATTCTTATTATGACAGAGGGATGAAGACATCAAGAATGTTGAAGCTGAAGATTAATAAAAGAAATGATTTGGTCGAAGGCATCTATAAATTGTTGTCCAGAAAAATTGAAAATCTATATCTGCATATGCGGAAAGCTGTTGTGGTAAGGCTTTACGATCTAAATGCTGAATCTTTTGAGCAATTAAGATTCATAAAAGTCGAGAATTGCAATATGTTGAAGAATTTGTTCTCATTCTCCATAGCTAAAAGACTTCGCAAACTCGAAGAACTTGAGGTATCCAAATGCGACAATATGATAGCATTAATTGTTGAAAAGGAAGAGATTAGAGAGAATGACACTTTGAAATTTGATAAATTACGCATCTTGAAGTTGACTGAACTGAATGGCTCATGGTATATAGAAAATACATTTCAATCCGTCACATGGCTTTTTGATAAAAAGGTATTTCTATTCATCTTTTTTTATCTATCGATTATGGCATCCATCAATTTTTCTTTTTGATTTTGATGTATTTTCATTCCCCCTTTAAATTAGATAAAAGAGTATATATTTATTTTTATCTACACTATTATTATGAGTCAAGTGACATTAATTCAGTTGAAAATTTTATGAAAAAAACCAAATTTTAAAACAATTATAAAATAATATTATGAGTTTTTTATTATATCTTTTATTATCTTTATATAATATTCAAAAAAAATTTATGACTTTCTAAAAAATATATATTTTTGAATGATAATTATTAATTAAGAAGAATTATTCATTATAGAATATGAAACATGAGTTTTATATATTTGCAGGTTTCGTGTCCTGCCTTGGAAGAGTTGTACTTGTATGCAATGGGTGTCATTGAGAAAATATGGCATATTGATGATCAATTTCCATTAGTATCTTTTGGTGTTCAAAGTTTAACAAATTTGAAAGTGTGGCATTGCCAGAAGTTGAAGTATGTATTTACTTCATCCATGGTTAAAAGCTTTGTGCATCTGAAAACACTTCAGATTTTTGATTGTGATGAAATGGAATGGGTAATAGAGGGAATATTAGAAGCAACCGAAGAAGAAGAAAGGATTAACGACAACATATGTGTGTTCCCTAAACTTGACTATTTGGAACTCAGTTCTCTTCCAAAACTAAAAGGATTTTTCTGTGGAAACAATCCGATTGAGTTTCCCTCGCTAAGGGATTTAAAAATATGGGGCAGAGCAGCGGTACCAAATATCTTCCATGAAAAGGTATGCATAAATATGTAGATATTTCCTATCCGTAAAATCACATGCATTCTACTTCCAACATTTTCTTTGAAAGACGATATTGAAAGTTAAAGTATATATATTTAATATGTAAGAAGTTTTCCCTTTTAGTTAAATTTATTTAATATGTAAGAGTTAAAAGTTCAAAATTGAAAATGAAAAAATAAAACATGATGTGTGCATAGCTGTAGCAATAAGTTATTTTCTTAACTTGAATTCTTTTGGTGTTATGTTTTCTTTTATTTTCTATGAAATTTTTTTTCCAATATGAATTACTTTTCTATTGTGCAGTGTGCGTTTCCAAATCTACATCAACTCAATTTGGCACGGAATGCTGGAATAAAAGACATTATAGGTCATTGCGAGGGCCAACAACAACAGCAACTTTTGTCTCATTACTTTGGCAACCTGAAAGTCGTCAAACTTGCGTGGTATGCAAGATTGCCATTTTACTTGTTCCCGTTATTAGCCTTAGCCAATCTTCAAACTCTCGAAATAGAATGGTCTGATATTAAAGAGATGGTATTCCAAAGTGAAGAAGGTGGAGAAGAAAAGCCTGCATCGCTGCTACTCTCTCAGATAACTGAATTAAGGCTGAATGGTCTTCCTGAATTGATGCATCTATGGAAGGAAAAGGAAGGATTCCCAAATCTAAGGATTTTGCATGTTGACTACTGTCATAAATTAAAAGGTAATCTAGTTCCATCCTCGGTATCTTTCCGAAATCTGGTGACTTTGATAGTAGGGAGTTGTGTTGGAATCATAAAATTAATCACACATCCCACAGCCAAAAGTCTAGTGCAGCTCAAACAAATGAGTATATCCTATTGCGAAAATATAGAAGAGATAATACAAGGTGGGGACGATGATGATGAAATCATTTTCCCTCAACTCAACAGTTTGGAACTCAAAGGTCTACCAAAGATAGAAAGTTTCTGCTCATCAGGGAATTATACCTTTTCATTCCCATCCTTGGAAGATCTAGTTGTAGATAATTGCCCAAAGATGAAGATGTTCTCTCAAGGACACTCAAACACTCCAATGTTGAACAAAGTACAATTACAGAAGTGGGGAGGAGAAGAAGTACATTTGGAAGGCAGCCTTAATAGCACCATACAGCAGCTATTCAAACGAAAGGTGTGTTTTCTCATATTTCCTTTTCATTTACTATTTTACAATATATACACATCAATTGATACTGGTCAATATAAACCTAGTAAATACTGCTGAATTTTTAATCTCTCGGTAAATTTAATACTTTTTAAATTGCTTTTACCAACAAATTTAAAATCCATGAGTACAAGTTCCGTTCATAACAACATAAATCTAATAAAAATCTACGAGTAAACATGGTAGCATAAAAATATATATTTAATTATATTATTGACTTGGTGATCATAACAGCATGCCATGATCGAGGAAGGTGAAAATCCTGAAGAAGATCAAAGCAATCTTTCCACTTCTAACACCCAAGTAAGTCTAAATTCATTTTAATTTCTTATTCTTCTTTTCTCTTTCATAAATGTTATTAACTTCTCTCAAGGATTATTAAATGTAGAATCTCAAAGAGGAAGTGGAAAATTCCATAAAAGATCAAGGCAATTCTTCAATTTCTATCTTCGAATGACCTGAATCAAGTAAGCATATGTATATCGCAGCATATGGTTATTGTTAGATTCAATAAGACAGTTTCTTTGGTAATGCTTTGATCATCTTAAGTTCAAAAGTGCAGAAATACTTATAATTCATATTTACTGAATATCTCACTTGATTTTTGAAGTTAAATAATAATCACTTGATTTTCCTCTTATGGCATCATATTGAAACATTTGTTATCATCAATGTAACAGTGTATGGTAGCAGAAAACCAGTTGATGCAAATGCTGCTCTTTCTACTTTTCTATGACTTGATTGAAGTTTGATGGGTTGCGAAGAATGAATCAGTGTTGTGTAATTAACAAATTCTCCATCTTTACTCCTTTTTTCCCCTCTTTGCAATGTTGTTTGATTGGTTCTAATGTTTGTGAGGAATAGCATAGGTTGTGTGGCGAAGTATGCAATTTATGTAACGAGGATTCGTGATCTAATCTAAATAAACCATCTTTGCATTTGTAAATATATATATTTGTAGTGGACGTATTTTTGGCAATGATGTATACTCATTCCTTTATTTTTCTCTGGTTTTGCAAAACCAAATTCCTTTTTACAAAATGATGGCTTAATTGCCTATTAGTCCTTCATCTTTCCATTTCTCAAGCTTCAAAGTCCCAGTATAATGCAGTTTAGCAAGGGCAATCAGCATCCCAAATATGACCTTGAATGGAATTATGAATGAAAATCATTCATTTCAGCGTAGTAGAGGAACTAAAACTATAATTAGACCAATTTTTAAGAATCCCAAAATAACACACATTGAACATTAATACAACTTACCCTGCGCTGAATATATCATGATGAACATTGTATACCTTGGCAAAAACGAAAGGGGCGATGCCTTATGGAAGAGCTGCCTGAAAACTTGAAACGATTCCGATCTCCGATTCAAAGTATACTTTTTTAAGGGTAGATATACAGTCATCGGAAACTGATATAACCTGCATGATAGCAATGCGGAGAACACCTCTTAATCCGACAGTGATCAAGGCAGCTGCCATGACGAATCGGACTGCCATGGAAAAGGACGCGGTCGTCTTTCCAAAGACAATTATCCTTAGCTGAAGTGCCATGAATAAACCTACAAACGAATACAATTTCGGAAAAGTTCGAACTAAAATAAGTGAAATTCGACATCTGTTTTTCCCAGAATGCACTACGAAATGGAACGAGCAACTATAGCAGACATTTGGATTCTCCACCTGCAAAAGTGCACTACGAAACTAATGAATTCGAATGTGGATTTAGACTAACATGGTTCAAAGCATGGGTCATGTAGTAGTTTTACATACTTGAACCAAACCAGAGACCAAGTTAGGCCGATCAAGCTCGAAATTAGTTCAGCCTAGGGGTTGAGTTCAGCTGTGGAGCTCGAACCAAGCTATGTAAGCACCGGTCTTTCACGATCAACCCCATTCGCCGCGGGCTTATTAACGAAGGTGAATTCATATCTACCGTACTCATCATAATATAAAGAGGGAAATCAAAACAAAGATCGAGTGTCGGAAAGGTTCGTTTTAGAGTTTACCTTTTTTTTAATAAGGTAAAGTACACAAATGCTCCCTCGACTATAGGATACTATCTTATTGAGTCTCTTGATTATTAAAAGTTACAAAATGGTCCACTAATTATAGGGATTTACTTTGTTGAATCTCTTAACTATTAAAAATTACAAAATGGTCACTAGACTATTCATTATGTTTCTCTTAACTTCATTTTCTTATTCAAACCTGTTGCTGCTGATATGGGATTCATCCATCTAAAAATTGCTTTCGTTTTGCCCCTGCAACTATTCAGGTGTGTGGATATTTTCTTGGAAAATCATAATTGAAATGATAGGGGAGAGGCGAGTTGAGAAGATATCAAGGCTGATGGGAAGCAGAGCACCTATACTACTTAAGAGTATAGGAAGCCATAGTCCTACAGATAAGCAGAGCATGTCCACCTTCGAGAATTCCACGAAGGAGATCTACTGCTTAGAAGGAGATCTAGTGCTTAGAAGGATATTACCTATTCAAAAAGATTTCCGAGGGAAATGAATGTCAAACTGGGAAGGACCTTATGTTGTAAAGAAAGCCTTTTCTGGGGAGCTCTAGTCCTTACTGAGATGGATGGGTCAGAATTACCCTACCCAGTGAATTTCGACGCGATTAAGAGATATTTTGCTTGAAGAAGAAATAAAATAAGGAAAAAAATGAAAAGAAAAAAAATGAAAAAAAGAAGAAAATATGAAAAATGAAAGAAGAAAAAGAAAAAATGGAAAAAAGAAGAAAAGAAAAATAAATAAAAGGGGGTTCAAGATGAAAATCCGAAAAAATCGTCTTGAAACCAAATGAGGTCTCAAGTTGAAAACCCGCAAAAGGCGACTTGAGTTTTGTTTTAATTCAGAATTCATGCATGGTGAAGGTTCTGAATTGATTTTGGAAATCGAAAGAGCTCCTGATATGGGTAGTAATAATGTCAGTTGGTGATCAGGGTTGGGACTAAAGATTAATGAGTCTAGATGAAAACAACCAGGAAAAAAATTGAATGCATATGAGGTTCAATATTGGTTTACAGCATCTAACATTTGGAGATTTGGTAGTTCAGAAATAGTTTCACACTCTTAAGCATCGTCACAATTTTAGAGATCCTTTTGACAGAAGCTACACTCGAGTCCCTCTACGGCGTGCCAGTTCAAAAGCATCTGCATTATTGATATTTGAAGATGCCTACTTCTTGGTTCTTTACTATTTCCAGTTAAAAGTTTTCCATGTATTTACCTAAAAATTCTCTGCATTTATATAAATAAAGAGATATATTTTCTTGTTAATTTCTCTTTTGCAAGCATCTTATTTTGAAGAGTAAAAACGTACAACTTAACTTGAAGTACATGAAATCTTTATGTATTATTGTGTAAAAAGTTTTGGAAAATGCAGGTATTCTGAAGCTGACAATAGTTTTAACATGTAAGCTTGTATGGTTATGGGAAGTTAAAACCTTGGAATACATAAAAGGTCTCAGCCATTAAAGGATGACCCAAAGTGATTGTCACTAATCAATAAGATGGTCATGGGTACTGGCTGGTTTTAAGAAAGAAAGGAATCAAAGTCCTGTTTAACCAATGAATATGGTATATGGATTGTTAGATGGGGTGAATTGGTGTTCCTTCGAAAAAGAAAATGCATTAAAATGCATCATTGCATACATTTTAAGCATGAATAGGATCATGACATTCACAAATGCATGATGAATTAAATATCGACAAGTTTCCCAAAGACAACTGAGGATTGAAGATATTGAAACCTCAGGATAAGAGTAACCTGTTCAAAATTTTGAGAAGAGGGATGTTTAAATGACAATCGAGCCCAAAGAAGATTCACATATCTAGTGGCTACGAGACAAGTTCCCACAAGAAAGATTGATTTTCTAAAATTGTCTTAAATTCTAAACTTTTGAGTATAATTTTCAGGTATACACCAATGATTGGTAATATTTGATTTTTCAGGTTCGATTTTCGAAACGAATTGATCATGGTTCAGTTCATCCTAAAAAAATAATGGATTGAATATAGATTTTTCGATTCTGATTTCCCCTGAATGAATAGCGGAGTAGACACACTTTCCAAAATAGATCTGTCTACCCGAAAGAGAGGCACAAATCTAGTCTGATTTCCCCTGAATGCATGGTGGAGCAGACACGTATTCCAACATGGATTTGTCTACCCAAAAAAGAGGCACAAATCTAGTCTGATTTCCCCTGAATGCATGGAGGAGAAGACACATTTTCCAACATTGATTTGTCTACCCTAAAAAGAGGCACAGATCAAGTCTGATTTCCCCTGAATGCATAGCGGAGCAAACACGTATTCCAATATTGATTTGTCTACCCGAAAGAGAGGTACGTATCAAGTCTGATTTCCCTTGAATGCATGATGGAGCAGACACGTATTCCAATATGGATTTGTCTACCAAAAAAAGAGGCACAAATCCAGTTTGATTTCCCCTGAATGCATGGTGGAGCATACACGTTGTCCAACATTGATTTGTCTACCCGAAAAAGAGGCATAGACCAAGTCCAATTTCTCCTGAATGCATGGCGGAGCAGACACGTATTCCAGCATTGATTTGTCTACCCGAAAGAGAGGCACATATCAAGTCTGATTTCCCCTAAATGCATGGAAGAGCGGACACGTATTCTAACATGGATTTGTCTACCCAAAAAAGAGGCACAAATCCATTCTGATTTCCCCTGAATGCATGGTGGAGCAGACACGTCTTCCCAAAATAGATATGTCTACCCGAGAAAGAGGCACATATCAAGTCTGACCTCCCCTGAATGCATAGTGGAGCAAACACGTCTTCCAGAATAGATATGTCTACCCGAAAAAGAGGAACATATCAAGTTTGACCTACCCTGAAAATACAGTAGAGCGGATTAACTTTTCAGGTTCTCTATAACCGGATGAATACGACCATCCTTTGATCTTTGCTCTATTCTCGTTGCATGACATTGAGCAAAGAGAGGCAACTGTAAATGCTCGTTTTGTCGGGGCTCTCATTCGAGTATTTACTCCAGTTTATATATATATTACTAATTAGTTATTATTACCAAGTTGATGTGATTATCTATTTATATTATTATTAGTTTATTAGTTGTATGTGTGTTTTTAATTATGTATTGATTGTTTATTTAATTATACATGTAGTTATGCTTGTGGTCATGTATATACATATATATATATATATATATATATATATATATATATATATATATATGTATTTATGGGTATATGAAATTATATATATATATATATGTTATGATAATTGGATTCACTAAGTAAATATTTTATTTTTACAGGCCCGAATTGCCAAAATTAATTATAACAAACCCACCCAAACCAATGAAGAGCCCAGGATTCAGCAGCCCAGTAGCCAAACCCGGACTGAAATAGTAGCCCAGTGCTGTAGCCCACTCGTAAAAACCCTAGACCCACTAGGGTTTTTTGTCACCAGCTCCCAACGCCGCAGTAGAAGGACCGTCAGATTTGGAGGTCCCCATCGAACAACTCAGGATGGATGATAAAAAATTTAGGGTTTTCTAAACCCTAAGGTTCCATACACAGCTGAGTTTCGGCCGTTAGATCTGGCTCCAAGATCCAACGGCTCACAACACTCTCAATATCCCCGAGTTGTTGCGTGTGATGCACCAAAGGCTCCCCAGCTCCCCGAACGACCAAATCTCGTAGGTAGAGATCACATTCGTCACTCCAGTTGTGACCTGAGCCTCCTAGCACATACCAGCACCTCAACCAGTTGTGGTACCCGATTGTCTGCTGCAGTAGCAGCCCATCTCTCCTGCCACATTCCTCTGCCGTAGTAGTGGTAGAGGCTTCCTCAAGCATGCAAACAAAAGCCACAGATTACCAAGAAATCAGAAGGAAAAAAAAAGAAAATGAAAAAATAAAATAAAAATGAGGATATATATATCCATCAGTAGAAAAGGAACCATCATCAACAAAAAAAACATAACCAGATCTAGCAAAAGAAAAAACCATAAGCAGCCAGAGAACCAAACCAAGAGAAACAAAACACATAACATCTCACAAAGAAATACCCCGAGAGTTTTATGAGTGAATCACCCACCCAAAAAAAGAAAAAAAAACAGCAAAAAAGCCTACCTTTCCTGTCCGAAAATCATCTTGCCGTCGCTCGGAGTCAAAATCCCGTCGAGTCTAAGGTCAAGCCCTCACCTTTAACACCAGTTGAGTGATCCTAGGGCTTTGGGTTTCTTTTCGAGGTTTGAGTTAAGAGGGTAAAGGCCTTTGAGGGTTTTAGGTTAGGTTTCTTTAAAATCTTGGTTCCTCGTCGGAGCCACGGTGGGGTGGAGGCCACGGTGGTTGCGTGGTTCGACAGTGAGGGTTAGGGGTTAGGTTATATCTGTTGTTTTGGGTTCTGTTTGTTTGAGAGGGTCGACGAGTGGGGGGTTTACTTGACCTTTCGTAGGATCAGTTTGGAGGTGGCAGCCACGGCGGCTGCCACGGTCGGAGAGGGAAACGAGGAGAGAACGAAGAGAGTGGGAGAGGGTTTGAGAGAAAACGGTTGGGGGAGATTTGGTGGAAGCTGATAAAATGAGTTAGGTTAAAGAAACTTACCCTAAATATCGTATATATGGGAACGCCAAAACGGCGTAGTTTGAGAGATGTGTGAAACGACCGCGTATTGGGAGGCTAGGACCGTCCGTGTTCTGTCGGGTGGGGATATTTGTGTGAGAGGCCCTTGTATCTTCAACCCATCGCATTATAGTCCTTAAATCGAGCCTTGCTGGACTTTTAATTTTGTCTCTTAATTTTCTGCGTATTTCATTTTAGTCCAGTATCATGTTATGCTTATTTTCACGATGTTTTTACATTTGGTATGTAATTTGGGAAACTTTTATTTTAGTCATGTGTATCTCTTTGGTTATATTACGTTTTCAGTACCTGGAAATGAAGATGTTTATACATAATAGTCTGATGTTTATACATAATAGTCTGATGTTTACTTTCTTTATGTTTTTAACCTTAAATATGTCCTTTTTATATTTTAGCCCCTTGTTTAAGATTTTATGCATGTATGTAGGGTTAGTTCAGGTTAGTTTCGAATGTATGTTAATCATGTGTTTGAATGAGTATGATATGTATGCATGTACATATATTTATTTCAAGCATGTTGTTCCTACGCATAGATTTAGGCAAAATTTAAATGGATGTATGACACCCTCACGCACATTACTCGATTCATAATTACATAATAGGATTAAGGGTAATACCCTTTTAATTTAAAATTGTTTTGAGTGGCTTGTCTTAACTCATTAAAGAGTCGCTTTCTACGATTTTAAATTGAAAGTGTATCCCAACAGTGAAACCTAAAAAATGATTTGTCACTTAAAATTTGGGAACAAAAGAAAAATACATGTTCGATTATTTAAATTTTTCGAGAAAATATTGTTAGATCTTATCTAAGATCTGGTCTCGATATTTTTAAATAATTGAATATTCTTCTTTTTTTTAAAGATTGGTAATTTTTAATTTAATCTATTTTGGTGCATTTGAATATTTTAATGAAAATGCAATATTTCTTTATTTCGGTTGGAGTAAGAATTGATTGCCTCAAAGTATGAGGGCTTTGTTTCTTCTCAATAGGAAATAATTAAATATTATTATATTTCATTTTAAAATTCACATTTTGGTTGTTTTATGGGATCGACTAGGTACCGATTTAGGGCATTGTGAGGGTTCTAACCCTTCCCCACGCGTAACCGACTCCCGAACTCGAACTTTGGTAACGCGGACTATAAATTTTTCGTTTTAATTAAAATTAATTTTTATTTAAAATGATAAAATGTTTTTGGGTGCCCAATCACACCCTAATCAAAGATTGGTGGCGACTCCTCGAACCATACGTTTTATTTTTAAAAGGAATCTCAAAATTTTTCGAAACGAGATATTTTTTAAATCATATTACTTTTAATTAAAAAATAACCATAAAGAGATAATTAAAATGATGTGTTTTTAAAATCTCACTTAAAAAAAATTGTTTCAACAACTTGCTTTTTCTGTATTCCCATTCAACAAATTCTGTCCCTTAACCATCACACAATATTGTCAGAGTGGGAGAGGACTAAGTCGAAAGACTGAAACAGTTGGGTTTGGGAGCTGATGAGGTGCAAGAAGAGGTGGGGAGGTATACGGTGATGGTGAGTATTTGAAAATAACAGGAAATTGAAATTTTTTAGAGTAAATTAGATATGTAATCATTGTTTAATAAATTTAGTTATTAACTTTTTTTTTTGTTAAAATTGTTACGCTATCAATTTAACAGAGATAACAATGGAGTGATATTTTGTAAACAAATTCAAAGGAGCATAAATATATATATACGAAAAGTTTAGGTAAAGAGCTGCTCTTCCAGTTCAAGGTCAGGGCATACTTAATACCCAATTGAGATTTATATACTAATATAGAGATTGTCCACCAAAAGTGACGGTGGTAAGATTCGAACTTAACCTTACAAGCTTAAATTCAACCACTTATGTCAATACTCATTGAGAATAGATACATACAACCATGCAGGAAGACACCTTCTGTTATATTCTACATAAGACAGAGAAAGGCTATTAACTTGTCACTCATCTAAACATTTTAATAGTGCATGAATTGAGTAGAAACAGTATTAACTTGTCACAATTAAATTAGAATACAATTCTAACTTTAGGTTATTAAAAAAAAAACAGATCTTATACGATAAAAAATAATATTATTGTGAAATCAAGACCATAACATTGTTCTTTTTTATATTGCATTATATCTTATATATAGATAAGTATAATACTTAATGAAAATCATTAAAAAGTATATATTTGATATACTAATTATATGTAAAATTTAATTACTTTTTTCTTCTCTTAAAATTTAGATAGGGTAAGAATTAAAATAATTCTATGAATTTTCATTAGATATTTTTAATTTCAAATTGAAAATTTAGCTTGTTATAAAAAATACAATAATGATAATTTAGTTTTACCACTATATAATCGATGCAAAGTATTTCATACGCCCGATGCAGTATTAGCCTCAAGATCCTTGGAATGGGTAGAACATAAATATACATAGCAACAACAGCAACATGCCATCACTTGAAGGCAAGCTCTCCAAATATTACAAATTATAATTGAAATGGACATCAATTTACGTCAACAATCAATAAACAACGGGCTGAGAGCGTCAATGCCTTTGTACTAAGGACAATGATTGACATTCACCTCTCGCAAAACATTAATTCGAGTCAAACTCTAGCACTATTAAAACCATGAAATGCAATCCTAACATCCAAATTCACTGCCCTGAAACAAAAATATGCCAGCACTACACCTTTAAGATGCCAGAATCGAATCCATCAAACTCCAAGGAGCATATATATATATATATATATTCACACACACAAACATTCAGGAAGACACCTTTTGCTATGGATTTGACTCCGCCTGAATTTAATCAAATTTGATATTGTTTGCGATGTGGCATTCTTGAACAAGTTTCGAACAGCCAGTTGAAATGGCCGATCGAGCCTCGTAAATCAGTAGTACTGTTCCTTTTAAATCAACTGATGGAAATGACAACTGCATTCTCCTTGGACCTCTAGAGCCAGGACATTGAACTCATAAGAGATGTGATCTACAGGATAGTTGCCAGCGAGGAGAAACTTGTTTCATATTAATTAGCTAGCATTTGGAGGCTCTGAATTTGGTACAGGATAGGAATCGAGGCCAAAGTTTTTTTTCGATTGGATTTTACCTCAATGATCAACTGAATGCTAATTTCATCTGCAATGATTTTGTCATGTCGGGAAATCTTTGCTAAATTCATTTATTAAGATCCATCATCCATGCTGGTCTATGTAAGAAATAAATAGCTCAATCCAAATGTTTTTTTATTGATCAAATCAACTAGAACCTAATTTCTATACATTTCGAAATAAATAAAACTAAAACTAAATGCTTGATGAAAATGGCGTCGACATGCCTTTCTTGTTTCTACCATAGACTATATGCCTCCCATTGATCACGTTGCTTCCCATGCAACTCTATACCCAAAGGCTACCCTTTCCAGCTAACTATTGCAACAAAGATCGTTTCACCCTTTTGCTGCTCCTTGTGCTGTCCACGAGCTTGAACCACTGGCTCGAAGGGTCGCATGTGTTGTCTTTACTTATGCATTTGCAACTATTTGTGATTATAGTCTTGTCTGGCGCTACATCGAGGCAAATGAATTTACCATCTCCGAGCTTAGTCGAAAGATGCATCCTGGAATCCGATATCATTTCCCATTTCGAACTCGAGCCGGTGCAAAAGACACCGAGCTTTGCCGATGTCCCAGATCCGTTGGCTTGTAAACAATAATGTGTTCCTTTTACTAGTAAAGTCTTATGGGGGGAGTAACTCCAAGCGTAGGAGTCGGTGCATGGACCTAACCGCAACCGGTAGTCGAATGATTTCCTTGTGATACAAAGCCTTGTTAAGGGATGGAAGATCACTTTGTGCGGTTTGACTTCCGACAGACCCGGACCTGCATATATCATAGCGGAATAACGAAAGATTAGTATCAATTTTTTTTTCGGTTCACATCAATCTCAAATTAAAACAAAAGAAAAAAGAAAACTTTAATATACGTTGGCTTACCCCGAAAAGGAGCTTGGAGAGCTGAAATTTTTTGTATGAAGCTCGAATTCCTGGGTGCACACCAATTATAATCCAAGGCTCCGTAATACTCGTTTAAGCCGACGACGCCTTCTCTCACGTAATAGCTCCCGGTCAGTGTCCACAAGGCCCAATCCAGGTCAAGCTCAGCTGCCACGCCCAAGAAGCAGTTCAAGTACCTATTGCCATTGACATTGGCTCCTGTTTGGTCGATCCCGAACTCCCCAATGAACAACGGGTATCCTTGATCAACCAAATACCCAGATGTCTTCATCATGTATGTCGTAACTCTGCCACAAACTTCGTTTGGGTTTCCGGTCACCCATGTTTGCGGCCCATCGGAGAATCCATACCAATGCGCCTCGAATACTAGTTTCCCACTAAACGTGAGTTTTACCGGTTGAGTCTTGATGAATGACAAGTCTCTGTCGAAATCAAATCCAGAAAGTATAACGAGAACATCCGGGTTTGCCGAGTGCACTGCTTCGGCTCCTTTCTGTATGTACTTATACCAGTCGTTTACGTTCTGTCTCGGGCCTCTTAGCTCGTTCCTCAAGCTCATGCCGACCACGTTGGTGACGCCATTGAATAAGGTGGCCATCCGAGTTAGCCCGGTGATCCATTGATCCGGGTTGAAGTACTTGTCGCCGAAGAAACCATTGTCATCAAGATTAGTGCAGCACCAACCGGGTTTGCTGATGTGATTGTCAAGTATGACCTTCAAATTGTGTTTCCCTAAGCTTGACATCACTGTCTGAAATATAAATATCAATCAATAAATCAATGCCGTAAAGTTTGAGACATGTTGTTTATTCAAATCTGATCGGAGAAAACAAGGACATGGAAAATCTGTCATACCTGGTAAGCTTTGATGAGGGGGCATCGATGATGGAAGGGTTGTTGGCGTGGATTCCGGCGATGGATTCAACCAAGCCGAGTTGTTGAAACGATTGTCTAACGGTGAGGGATGCCAAGGAGTCATTGGTGATCAGATAGACTGGCCAAGTGTACCTAATGCAGTTGAACCCCATTGACACAATCTGTTTGGCGATCGTATCCATAGGCTGCTTGTTGAGCCCTTCGGCAAGCATCTGTTCTGAGTGAGACGACCAGTTCACGCACGCCAGCTTCACGCGTCGTCCTCCCTCGCCCACAATCCAACGTGAATTCGTCGACAGAGGCAGGGGCATGACGATGGGAAAGAACAGGAAGAGGAGAAGAATAGAGGAGGAAACGAAACTTGCCATGCCTTTTGCTTTGACTTGAAGGAGGAGAATAGATCGTTGAAGGAGAACTTACTTGACTGGCTTATTTATACAGTGGTTTGCTTACAAGTCGTTGTCCATAACAAAACCAAACACACAAATCCTATTCCAATTATATCTTTTAACTTTTATTTTTAAATTTAAATGTTTTATTTATATAGTAGGATTGGTTCTCTTTTTATAATTATTAATTTTTATTACTTGTGATTATAAAATATTAAATTTATAAATGAATTTTATTCCCATATATAATTTAATGCATTAATTCAGATTTGGTGTGTCCCTAGAATATAAACGAGATTAAATAATATAATCTCAATTAAATTAGAATACAATTATTACTTTAGGTTATTAAAAGTAAAAAAATAATAAAAAATAATATCCTTGTGAAATCGAGACCATAACATTATTCTTTTTATATCTTAAGTATATCCTAAACACTTTTTTATATTAAGTCTTTCTATAATTTAATCTAATTTTAATCATCATGGTTTAGTTTAGTTTAACATGGACACAATACTTGATGTTAAAATCATATTTTATTATTAAGCTATACCAGAATTTGATACGTAAAAATCGAGATGTTCAATATTAGATTAAATTATAAAAATTAAAATTAAAAATAATATTAGTTTTGGATTAAATACTTTTTTAGAGATTAAACTGAAAAAAATAAAATCTAAAAAATTTAACATATTATTTATCTTTCTCATTCAAATATTTTTTGAGTCAAATTATTTGAGTTAACTAAATTTTTTATTCGAATTGAAACTTTCAATTTAACTTGAATTATATCTCTTCAATTCCTCTTTCATTTTAATTTTGTTTGACACAATTTGAGCCATATGTTCCTCAACCACTACATAATAATGTGCACCATGCGCGTCGAAGACACATATTTACACGAGTACGAGTCAGGTCAGACAATGATACTGATGCGATTATATTGATCTCCTCTTCAATCATTCAATGAGTGTATGTTTAAAAGTAGAAGCTTGAAAAAGAAAATTCATATCTAAACAATATGAGATTTGATAAACTCATGACCAAACATGCAAATTTTGAACTGTCAATGACAAGTCTTGAATTTGATCAGAATTATGTCTCTACGAAAATCAAATATAGTTTTTGATATTGAAATCCTGAGTATTTTAGAAGAAAAATAACTGACAGAATTCATGACTTGAGTATGATCAAGTTCAGGATTAATCTTTGACAACTCAAAATCAACATGTTTGGCCATGAACTTCTTAAATCATATATAGTTTAGGTATACTTTTTTCAAGTGTTTAAATATATCATTTTAAAAATACACTCATTAAATGATTGAAGACAAGACTAATACATATTATTACTGCGATCGTCTAGTTCATGCTCGTACAAATACCATTATTACCATATGTAATACAAAAAAATATTAACTAAAAAATAGTCTTAATACAAAAAAGTGCTCAAACTATACCTTTTTCTCATTTAAGTACCTAAACTTTTTGTCATAACCATTTTTTTACCATTAGATTTAAAAAAAACAATGATTACTTTATTAAAAAATTGACGATTTTGAATTATTTTGAAAATTTTGAATTGGAGTCGCCATCGACCTTTAGCCTAGGTAGGTCGAATACCTAAAAACGTCATTCAAAACAATTTTAAAGAAAAATCGTTTTTAAGACAAAAATCGGTCTGCATTTACCAAAAATTTGACTTAACAGTTTCGGGAATCGATTACGCGTGGGGAATGATAAGCACCCCCATAGCGCCCTAAATTGATACTTAGCTGCTTATATGATGTCGTAATGGTGGAAATTAAAATTCGAATAAAAAGTAAAATTATGATCCATTTATTGAATATTAACTAATTTATTCCGAATTAACTAAATAAAGAAAATTCTTTGACTTGACAAGAAATCTCGAGATTTGTAATCCTTCATCGAAAAAGCCATCTCACCTATTTCTCATTTGTAAAAGAATATTCTATCTTTGAATTATTTAAACATTAAATTAATATTGTATATAGTGAGAGAAACTTGTTTAAATTATAATCGGTTAATACCATGACCTTATAAATAATTCCATTTCATTTTTTTAAAAAATGGAATAAATATATTCGATTCAACTTAACTTGAATTTGATAAACTCGAATTGAAAAAGTTCAAATAAAATTTGAAGGATAATGACACTTGTAAACTCGATTTTTTTGACCAAATATTAATCTCTAAAAGAAGATATCTAAATGAGGTACCAAATGACCATTTCACCTAAATATCATCTTAAAAAATAATTTCTGAATTAATATTTATTACAGATTAATTCTTGGATTGAAACCTTTTAGAAAAGACATCATGTTAGATGTGCTTTTAGAAAGACGCTTTTGACAAGAAGTACTTTTTGTTGATGTGACATAAGTTGATGAGAACTTTTCAAAGTTGAGCCAAAATGAAAGAAGCCAAAAACATGAAAATTATACTATTTTTCCCAAAATAAATAAATAAATAAATGTGCACCATACGCGTCAAAGACGCATATTTACAAGAGTATGAGTCAGGCCAGACAATGATAATGATGTGCGTTTATTAATCTCCTCTTCAATCATTCAATGAGTGTATGTTTAAAAGTAGAAGTTTGAAAAAAAATCATATCTAAACAATATGAGATTTGATAAACTCAGGACCAAACATGTTAATTTTAAACTGTCAAAGACAAGTCTTGAACTTGATCAGAATTATGTCACTACGACAATCAAATATAGTTTTTGATATTGAAATCCTGAGTATTTTAGAAGAAAAATAACTGACAGAACTCATGACTTGAGTCTGATCAAGTTCAGGATTAGTCTTTGACAACTCAAAATAAACATGTTTGGCCATGAACTTCTCAAATCATATATAGTTTAGGTATAATTTTTTCAAGTGTTTAAATATACCATTTTAAACATACACTCATTAAATGATTGAAGAAAAGACTAATACATATTATTACTGCGATCGTCTGGTTTATGCTCGTACAAATACTATTATTACCTTATGTAATACAAAATAATATTAACTAAAAATAGTCTTAATACAAAAAAGTGCTCAAACTATACCTTTTTCTCATTTAGGTACCTAAATTTTTTTCCGGTCAATCCAGTTACCTAACGTTACAACTGTTATCAATTTAAGTGTCCCAATCGTAATCGCCGTTAATTTTTTTATTAAGTGGCACGTGTCGTATTCTGATTATTTTATTTAAAAAAACTTAAAAATATTATTATATTTAAAAAATCTTAATTTCTCTAAAATTACAAAAAAACTCAAATGCCTAAAATCTCTAAAATCAACCCTAAAATCTCTAACCCTAACCTTACCATCTCCATTACCGGTCACAACCACAGTAGCCTCCTCCACCTTTGGCATCTCCTTCGTCGGCTGTCATCGCCCTAACCTTCGTGTGCTTCGTCGGATCGCCTGGGTATCAAAATTCTTAAGGTTTGGTCTGTCGAGTTCGTCGACTATTCGTTAGGTTTTTGGTTATGGGTCATTGGGTTCAACTGTTCGTCAGGTGGAGATTTTGATTGAGGCTTGATCGATAACAATGGTTACAAACGACGACAGTCTGCGTGGATATAAAGAATGAAATTAGAGTTTTCAAAGTTTTGAGTTTTTTTTAAAGATTTGAGAAACTTTTGAACTTTTTCAAAATATATATATAATTTAAATTTTTTATTTTAAATAATTTTTTAAAATTATATAAATACAATACTTTTCATTTAATAGAGAAAATTATCGACGCTAACAGTGTTGGCACCTAAAATAAAAGTGTAACGTAAGAAACATTGGACACCTGAATTAACTGAAAAATAGTTTAGACACCTAAATAGGAAAAAGAGTATAATTTGGACACTTATTTTTATATTAAGCCTTATCATTCATGGTGTTAGAATTGAGACCTCAAATAATAATAACAATTCATTCACCACTGAGATTGCTTGGTTATTGCAAGCCTAAAACATAATATAAAACTTACAATAATCTTTTTTTGTTAGTTATATAGTAGTAAAAGAAAGATGTGCCATATATATATATATATATATATATATATATATAAACCTGCATGATTTGATAAATATTTTGTTCAAAAAATGAAAGGCAGAGAGTGTTCTTGTCCCAATTAGAATATTTGCTATAATAAAACAAACATTTTTTCCTTATTATTTCTTTGAAAAAATTTCCCCCAAAACCAAACCTCTAAAAATTCCATTTCCCTTGATTCATGCATGCATGTTGTGATATGAAGTATTGAATTCCTTTTGGGTTTTCATGATAATTTTTTTAAGCTTTGAGGGTGTAAGCATCATTTTTGCCCTGCCATCTGACCAGCACAACAGCCCCATGTTGCTGTCCACCAACTCACCAAATCCCAACAGCCCCATTCTTAAGCCATCATGTTGCCACTACCAACGCCACAACAACACAACCAAAGTCCCCATCAGTAAATCACACGT